CATGTAGATGCTGACAATGACAGCCTCAGTAATGCATTCTGTTCATTATTAGACTCAGTTGGCTTCTCTCAAACTGTAAATAAACCCACTCACTGTTTTAATCACACTCTTGATCTTGTTTTGACATATGGCATCGAAACTGAACACTTAATAGTTTTTCCCCATAACCCTCTTCTGTCTGACCATTTTCTAATAACTTTTGATTTTCCATTAATGGATTATACTCTATGTGGGAAACAATTCCACTACAGCAGATGTCTATCTGGCAATGCTGTTACCAAGTTTAAGGAAATAATTCCGTCTTTATCTACTTCAGTGCCGTTTGCCAACACAGTGGAAGGAGGCCACCTTAACTTTACTCCCATACAAGTCGATAATCTTGTTGATAGTACTGCAGCCTTCCTGCGTAATACACTTGATACCATTGCCCCTCTGAAAAAGAAGGTAGTGAAACAGAGGAGGTTAGCGCCGTGGTACAGCTCGCAGCTCCGCTCCCTAAAGCAGGCATCACGAAAAATGGAAAGGAGGTGGCGCTCCACTAAGTCAGAAGAGTTTTTCATAGTCTGGAAAGATAGTTTAATAACATATAAGAAAGCCCTTCATAGTGCCAGAACCGCATTTTATTCATCACTGATTGAGGAAAATAAGAACAACCCCAGGTTTCTTTTCAGTACTGTAGCCAGGCTGACAAAGAGCCACAGTGCTGTTGAGCTTAACATTCCCTTAGATCTCAGCAGCAATGACTTCATGAGCTTCTTTACAAATAAAATCACAACTATTAGAGAAAAAATTGGTCGGACCACTCCCACAGCTCTCGCAGATGTGCCATCTACTACAATGGCTTTAGAAACATCTGTAAGACCTCATTTATACTTGGACTACTTCTCCCCTATAGATCTCTCTGAGTTGACCTCAACAATTGCTTCATCTAAATCATCAACATGTCTCCTGGACCCCATCCCGACCAGGCTGCTCAAAGACGTCTTTCCCCTAATCAACACATCCATACTAGATCTGATTAACCTCTCTCTATTAACAGGTTATGTTCCACAGGCTTTTAAACTTGCAGTAATTAAACCTCTACTCAAAAAGCCTACTCTTGACCCAGGTGTCCTAGCTAATTATAGACCAATATCCAATCTCCCATTTATTTCCAAAATCCTTGAAAAAGCTGTTGCAAAGGAGTTATGTGACCACTTGCACAAGAATGATTTGTTTGAGGATTTTCAGTCAGGATTTAGAGTCATAGTACAGAGACCGCATTGGTGAAAGTCACCAATGATCTTCTCCTAGCCTCGGACAAAGGACTTGTCTCCATACTTGTCCTCTTAGATGTCAAAAGCAGCACTGAGACCATTGATCACAGCATCTTACTGCAGAGACTTGAACATGTTATTGGGATTAAAGGAACTGCGCTAAGTTGGTTCAAATCTTATTTATCAGAAAGATTTCAATTTGTTCATGTTAATGACGAATGTTCCACACAAACTGAAGTTAGTCACGGCGTTCCACAGGGCTCTGTGTTAGGTCCAATACTCTTCACTTTATACATGCTCCCTTTAGGCAATATTATCAGGAAGCACAACATAAATTTCCATTGCTATGCAAATGATTCTCAGTTATATTTATCTATGAAGCCAAATGAATCAGGTCAGCTGGTCAAACTTCAAGCATGTCTTAAAGACATAAAGGCCTGGATGACCTGCAACTTCTTACTTCTAAACTCTGACAAAACTGAAGTCATTGTGCTTGGGCCTGAAAACCTTAGAAATCTGCTGTCTAATCATATAGTTACTCTAGATGACATAGCCCTTGCCTCCAGTACTACTGTGAGGAACCTTGGAGTCATCTTTGATCAGAATATGTCCTTTAAATCACACATAAACCAAGTCTCTAGATCTGCCTTCTTTCACCTGCGCAATATTGCAAAAATCAGGAGCATCCTGTCTCAAAGTGATGCTGAAAAACTGGTCCATGCATTTGTTACTTCCAGGCTGGACTACTGTAACTCTTTACTATCAGGATGTCCCAATAATTCCCTAAAAAGCCTCCAGTTAATCCAAAATGCTGCAGCCAGAGTACTGACAGGAACTAGCAAGAGAGATCATATCTCTCCCATATTAGCTTCTCTCCACTGGCTCCCTGTAAAATTCAGAATAGAATTTAAAATCCTTCTCCTAACATACAAAGCCCTTAATGACAAGGCTCCATCGTATCTTAAAGACCTCGTAGAGCCTTATCATCCTAACAAAGCACTTCCTAAGTACCTTCCCAAAGTGAGTAGCAACATGTCTGTACAGATTCTTAGTCATCCAGGTCATGGTAAGCTGAAAAAACGTAGAAAAAATCAACTGGTAGGTAGAAGATGTTTCATGTTCATTTTTGTCCAAATAGAACACCCCTCACTAAATGAGGGTGGTGGACTAAGACACAACTTTTCACCCATCTACAACTCTGTTTTGAGATCTCTGCCCAAACATGCCCACCAGGACAACAGGCGTCGGTCCACAGGTGAGGGTTCAAAGACAGGTAACGACGCTCACCAAAACCGGACCCTAATGATTGAGTTGTTAGAGGACATTGTGGGCCACCAAAGGACTGGAACACCCAGGGTGATAAATACCTCCTGCTCACCACCAGTTGGAGAGAACTGATGAAGCCTCTTGGATGAGAGGTGAAACGTCTTCGGGGTCTGTCGGAGGTTTCTTCCGTTAAAGGGAGTTTTTCCTCCCCACTGTCGCCAAGTGCTTGCTCAAGGGGGGTTTGTTGGGTTTTCCCTATGTAATAATATTGATAACAGTAAGGTCTAGACCTTACTTTGTAAAGTGTCCTGAGATGACTTTTGTTGTGATTTGGCGCTATACAAATAAAATTTGATTTGATTTGATGTACAGCACTGTGTGTTAGCAGCATAACAAGCGCAGTCAAAGGTGAGGTGCCCTTTAACTATCACAATAAAAGGCAGCCCGACTGTGATTTTATCCACAGTTGTTTAGTTGATCCACCTATTAAAATATGTAGA